CTGATCAGACAGTGTTTTACCGTCTGATCTTTTTCTGATCAGACCGTGTTTTACTGTCTGATCTTTCTCTGATCAGACAGTGTTTTACCGTCTGATCTTTTTCTGATCAGACCGTGTTTTACCATCTGATCTTTCTCTGATCAGACCGTGTTTTACCGTCTGATCGTTCTCTGATTAGACAGTGTTTTACTGTCTGATCTTTCTCTGATCAGACAGTGTTTTACCGTCTGATCTTTTTCTGATCAGACCGTGTTTTACCATCTGATCTTTCTCTGATTATACCGTGTTTTACCGTCTGATCGTTCTCTGATTAGACCGTGTTTTACTGTCTGATCTTTCTCTGATCAGACCGTGTTTTACCGTCTGATCTTTCTCTGATCAGACCGTGTTTTACCGTCTGATCTTTCTCTGACTATACCATGTTTTACCGTCTGATCGTTCTCTGATCAGACCGTTTTACTGTCTGATCGTTCTCTAATTAGACCGTGTTTTGATCGAACCGTGTTTTACTGCCTGATCGTTTTGTAATCAGACCATGTTTTACTGCCTGATTCTTTTTTTGATCGAACCGTGTTTTACTGCCTGAACGTTTTGTGATCGAACTGTGTTTTACTGCCTGATTATTTTTTTGCCTGATCGTTTTGTGATCAGACCGTGTTTTACAATCTGATCGTTCTGTTATAAAACCGAGTTTTACCGTCTGATCGTTCTGTTATAAAACCGAGTTTTACCGTCTGATCGTTCTGTTATAAAGCCGAGTTTTACCGTCTGATCCAATGTGCTGCAGGCGGAGCGTCTGTCGTTGCGTCAGCAGCTGGAAAGAACGGGGTCTGAGCTTCAGCAGAGCCAAGAGCAGAACAGCCAGCTCACAGGACGGCTGCTCAAAGCAGAGAGAGATGTCATCTCGCTGAACTCGCAGGTAGGACCCCCCCCCGCCAGTCTGAGGCGTCAGTCAGCCATCGCTGCCCTCTAACCTTTAATGGATGCACTGGTTTCAGATGGAAAGCCTGAAGCATTCCCATAAGCTGGAACTGGCGGGCGTCAAACTGGAGTGTGCTAGCTCTAAAAGAGAGCTGGAGAGGGAGAGGGACGCTGTGCAGGCCCAGATGGACGGTACCGCTAACACATGTTTTTTACCATTCTGCTTCCTGACGGCTCCATCACAGCTACATGCTGCCTTTATCTTCACATCCTGAGTCTTACTGGTTGGTTTCAGGGCTTCAGACTGACATTGATGTTCTGAAGGAAGCACTGGACCGAAGCAAGGAGGTTTTGGTGGAAAAAGAGAGGGAGCTGGTGAGGAAGGTGCAGTCGGTCCGAGAGGAGGAGTTCCACAAACAAGCCACTTTAAACGAGGAAAAGTCAGAATCTGATCATTCACTTCGACAAGGAAAGAATGACTGAAAACTACAGAGAACGTTTTCCTCATCTTGATTCTTCTTCTAGGTTGGAGCTGGAGAATCGCCTCGCCATGTTAGAGCAGCAGAGGGCGCTGCAGGACGCCTCAGATCAAACCTTAAAGGAGGAGTGGGAGGAATGGGTCCGCAGCGCTCAGCAGGGAGAGGAGTCGGCTCGCAGAGAGCTGCTTAACCTGAGGTCAGCCTGCAACTCCGTGGTTCACCTGCAGAGAGCGCTGTCCTGAACAATTCTTTTTTTGTTGTTGTTGGTGTTTCTTTGAAAAGTTCGATCAAATGGTTGTTTTCTGTCTGTTAGAAACAAGCTGCAGCAGCAGAGTTTGAAGATGGAGGAGCTGGAGAGACAAAGAGCAGAGATGGCCGACCTTCAGCAGGTGAGACCACGGGCTTTACATCCACCGAAGCAGATGTTTGGTTTCTCTACTGAAGGTTTGGTTTCTGATAACAGCAGAACCAGGAGCTGGGGGTCCAGCTGGCGGCGCTGAGGCGTTCTGAAAGCGAGCTGATGGACGCAAACCAGAGCCTGAGAGAAACGGTGGACAGAGCGAGGGAGGAACTGAGGGCAGCGCGGGCACAGGCGGAGAGGAGTCAGCACGAGGCGGAGAGGTGCAGCTACTCGCTCCGCCCCTTCTCGGAGGTTCTCCTTTATCCTGGTTTTGACCAACCTGCTGTCTGTTGTTGCTTCTCCAGGATGGTGGAGGACCAGCTGGTGGAGAAGCACAGGCTGCAGCAGCGGGAGGCGGAGCTTCAGCAGAAATACTCTCAGGCCAAAGAGAAGCTGCAGAGAGCAGCGGCGGCTCAGAAGAAGGTCCGCTTCATGACCTCAATCTGCTTTTATCGTCTAAAACAACAATGAGCTGAATACAAGGTTTGTGTCGTTTAGAGGAAACATCAGACAGAGAACCGAGAGAAGAAGCTGCAGGATAAGATCCAGCTGCTGGAGGCCAAAATCGAGGAGCTGGAACTAGAAGCTGCTGCTGCTAAGAAGTCAGTCTGACTCCATCGATAACCTGAAGCTCTTCTGGCTTTTCTGTCGCCTAATTTTCTTTCCGGGTGTTTCCAGGCGCTCGGTTTTCTCAGAGGAGCAGGCTCAGCTGAAGAGACGTCTGAAGGAGCTGCAGCGGCGACACCACGAGTTCCGCCGCCTCCTCCTGGGCGGCCAGGGGCCCCACCCCATGACCTCCTCCCTCTCCCTACCGGTCCTCGGGTGCGAGGGCCCGCTTTCTGTCGACCTGGTGAGGCTCTGATTATAGTTGGATGAGGTCTGATTAAACTGGGCCCAATGTTCTGGAAACTGGATGCAAAGCTATTGAATATAAGAATCCAGGACAGGTTTCTCTATTTCAGCAAGCACTTTGTAAATGTTAGGAAATAGAAATGTAGAATATCTTTCCTTAAACTTCAAAATTGTCTTGGAAGAATGTTAAAATCTTAGTTCTGACAGCAAACTAAAGCATCCAGACGGCGTTTGTTCTGCAGGAGGCGGAGTTCTCTGTGCTGCGGAGGAGACTGGAGAGTCTGGAGAACGCTCAGCAGCAGCAGCTGGAGGAACTGGGCTCACTGGTGCAACAATGAGCACGGCTCTGCTCCCAAACCTGACCTCTGACCCCGACCGTGTCACCTTCGTTCCAAAGCTCCTCAGGAATAAATCTTTTATTGTTTACATTTATCTCCCTCCTCAACGGGCCTGGAAAGCCTTTAGAGCCGATAAACACGATACCCTGAAAAAAAGAACTTATCTGATCGATTTTATGTTTAAATAAAAGAAGATTTTTTATCTCTGGGTTTTAGAACAGAAACAAACATTGTTAGGGAAACAAAATACAGATTTTAGGGAAAAAGAATAAAATTTTATGCAAAATGGAAAAACAAAAACTACATTTTCCGTTGCATAATGACTAGAAATCAGCATTAATGTTTTAATGACATCATTAGAAGCCATTCTGGGTGTGAAGCTGAGGTTGATGTTGACATCAAGGCACTATGAACAGAAACTTGCACATAAAAATGTACAAACTTATTTTTTTTTACTTGAATAATAACTCAGCTGTCGATTTCCTTTGCTCCGTTTGAGAAGCTGATGTGAATTTATTGCTTGTTTATTTAAAGTTTTCCAGGTTTAAAGGTGTTACATGTTCAGTCCTTCCAGTTTTTATCTCCAGCTTACTTCATAAAAGTAATCCTCAGCGGGGTTCCTTCGCTCTGATCTCTGAAACGTTTTCAGCTCCATGTTTACTGAAGGTGATGACTGCCTCGTCACAGACGTGGAAGAGCTCCCCTCCCTTCCTGTCGAGTTCATTCAAGTTCAGCTTACGGATGAGCTCAGTTCCATGAGCAGCTCTTCAGGCTGTCAAATAAGTCTTTTACATGCTGCAGTTGCTCCAGCAGCTCAGTGGGGGCGCCGTTGCTGAGCAGCTTCTCGTTGATCTGTGGAAAATCCAGACAGGTGTCACAGGAGAAGATGCTTCCCTAAAATCTGCTGCACAGTGGATTGAATAAATGCATGATCAGATCTGTTCACAGATTCAACCTGTTGGAAACGATAATAAAAGCGACAGCAGACTCTGCTTTCTAGATGTCCTACTTTGCAGAAAGGAACAGGAAACATAAAGGCTTGACACGCAGCTGAAGAAGTTCAACTCGTTTCCTTTCTGTCCTTCCATTTGATTATCAGTTTCACAACCTACTTCTGCAGTGGCCTACATCTCGCAGCTTTTCCTGTGAGGAAACAGCTACTAGTAACATGTCTTTAATGTTCTTAAATTCTTTCTTTGAATCTGGAAGATGATACATGGTCATCATTAGGCTGCTTCAGCTAAAAGTTTGACTGTTTGGATTTGCTGTTTATTTTGCGGCCTAGAAGCTGTGAATTAGGGATGCACCAATTAAAAAACCTAAGGCCGATATATATATATATTCCCATTACAATATTATAACAACCAGAAAACTGTATTTACAATATATTATACACTGCAAAATCTGATCTAAACATAAGTAAAGTTTTCTTAAATTTTGTATATTTTGAGCAGGTTAATAAGATGATCTGCCATTGGATTATTATACCATTAAATTCCACATATAGAGTTAATGCACCTAAAAAAAAATATATATATATAAATTATCTTATTCCATTGGGAAATCACTTTACTTACCTGCTCAAATCAAAGTGAAATACATTGATTTAGATAAAGACATGTCCGATTTTGCCGTTTGTTTCTCTACCATTTGGACATGATGAAACAAAAACAGTGCAGACCAGGGATGAAAAATGCAAATGCAAAAAAGATTATTATGTTTTATTATATAAATATTTTTTTTTCCATCTCGTTAATTGATAACGTAAAAAAAAATCCTTTAAATGTTGTAGTGGTATCACCGTCCACTAGAGGGCACTGCTGTTTTTTCTCTCTGGTAGTTTGCAAGAGAGGTAATGCCAGAGTCCAATCAAGGATTATTTTCACTCTTTAATGAAGATTAGGATTTTTTTTCCCCAAGCGTTTTATTGTCATTACATCGTCACAAGTACAGAGCAATAAAATTAACTCTCTGCATTTAACCCATCCGTTTGGGGAGCAGTGGGCTGCCATTGTGTGGCGCCCGGGGAGCAGCGTGGGATTAAGGGTCTTTGCTCAGGGACCCCGAGCTCCAAATTCCAAGCGCAATCCCCTAACCACTAGGCTGCCTGCAGAATGAACATCATGTGGTTCTTTTTGTGAACATAAACTCTGGATAAACAATATAGAGCCATTTAACCTCCTGCTTAAACGCTCTGCTAGCGCATAACGTCTCTCCCAGCATTGAATGCTGGATTACACTAACAGACCTACATCACATTTAGCATTTCTTTAAAACAAGGTGGCTAATTTAGACATTTTGAACTGAAAGAGCTTCCTGGATGGGAAGCAAAAAGTCTTCAAACTTGGAAGCAAAGTCCAGCGGATTATTTTTTTAGCTTCACCAACAAGGTGGCAAATATACCTTGTCTACTATTGATTGTTTGACACTGGAAACCCTAATGGGTTCCTGTTTTGTTATATCATCTAGTTTAATAAAGTGTAAGAAAACATGTTTTGTTTATTTAAAAAAAAAAACAATAGAGGCTCATCATTAGATTGTTTAAGATTGTTTAGATTAGCTGATAATTACAGTTTTGGTCAAACATCATCCTGAGCTGCATCATAACTGCTGTCACATGACCAAACAAACCATGTGACTGATCCCCTCCTAAACAACTACATGGAAACAAACATTGGTTTCAACAGGAAAATTTTTATCTGAGTCATACCTCTATGCTTAAAGATGAACCATATCTGTGGATTCCAATATTAATGCCAAGTATCAGTAATACCGTGGGTGGGTCGTGGGTTCGAGCCCCACGTTGGGCGCAAAACATTTTGGGAGGGGAGTGGTGGCCTAGTGGTTAGGGCATAGGCCTGTGAGTTTGATCTCCCACTCTGGCTCCCTTAGCAACCTTATTAACCTCACACTGCAGCGGCTGCACAATGGCAGCCCACTGCTCTCCAAGGGGATGGGTTAAATGCAGAGAAGTAATTTCCCTCTGGGGTAATTAAATGTTAATTATATATATATATATATATATATATATATATGAGATGAATGCATCCTCATGTTGTGGATGTAAGGACTAACCTGCTCGAAGTATCGCTGTACAAATTCATAGAGCTTTTTGAGGGCTGCGGCTTCGTTGAACTCCCCTTCATGTTTCTAGAGAGAGAGAGAAAGAAATAGGAAAGTAAATCATTTAAAGGTATAGTGGAGGATGTTCTTTTTCCAAGTGGATCATCAGAATAAGTTGCCCTCCCAATTGTCAATCATTTTGGTGATATGTTTACGTAAGGCCATCCTACGTGCTCGTCCCCATTTTTACTTACCGATGGTCAGTCTGACATAGTGGAAAAATTTCAAATCTTCTTTTAAACACAGCGTGCACAAGGAGAAATGGGCTCGTGCACGCTCTCACATACGTTAAATAGGCTTTCCCTCTCCGGAGCGGGTACAGGGTTGTGTATGCGCATATTTTTGAAAGTGGAGAGGGCGGGTCTCTTCAAATATTCGCAAAAATCCTCCACTATAGCTTTAAAAAAAAAAAAACCCTAGAACTTGAACTCATCACAGCTGCCAGAGTGCTGTGGATCAAAAATCTGGTCTCTGCTGCCAACAAAACTACAGTTTTAATGCAGCTCATCAAACAAGCCATTAAAAAAGCAGAAATATCTGAGATTATATCGTCCAAACTGGACTGGTTACACAGAACCATTGAGCGATGCTGGGTTTGAAATCTGTTAATGGATTCCCAGTACTTTATTCTCAAAATTGTGATGGAGTCCAGGCCAATTCTTCAAAGATCAAAAGCAAGACCAAATCTTTAGAATTTGACTTAAATATTGGAACAGTTAAAACAAATAATCCTAATTTAAATCACAAAATGAATTGAAAAGATTAACTGATTCATCACAATAAACTAAAAAAATACTGATTTCAA